ACCATCACTGCTGTGTGACCATCACTGCTGTGTGACCATCACTGCTGTGTGACCGTCACTGCTGTGTGACTGCCACTGCTGTGTGACCATCACTGCTGTGTGACCGTCACCGCTGTGTGACCATCACTGCTGTGTGACTGCCACTGCTGTGTGACCACTACCATGGTATGACCATCACTGCTGTGTGACCATCACTGCTGTGTGACCGTCACTGCTGTGTGACCACTATCATGGTATGACCACCACTGCTGTGTGACCATCACCAAGGTGTGACCGTCACCACTGTGCGACCATCACTGCTGTGTGACCACCACCAAGTTGTGACCTTCACTGTGGTGTGAGCACTGCCACGGTGTGACTGTCACCACGGTGTGACTGTCACCACGGTGTGACTTTCACCACGGTGTGACTGTCACCACCACGCCTGGCCCTGGCCCCCTGACCTGCAGCAGCAGCCGTGCCTCCATGGCCTCCTTGCAGGTGATGAAGTAGGGCTTCATCAGCAGGATGTCCTGGCGCAGCTTCTGCAGGGGACACAATGGGAGGGGTGGCAATGGGGACAGGTATGGGGACAGAGTTGGGGACAGGAGTAGGACCATAGGGAAAAGGGCAATGGTAGGGGCAGGATGAAGATGAGGACAGGATTGTTACTAGGATGGAGACAGAAGCATGACAAGAAAAACACCAGACTGGGGCAAGTTCATCCCTGTTACAGTCTGGGCACCCTCTGCCCCAAACTCCCACCCCACCCTGCTTCCTCTCTGTGGGGTGCCCCTGGGGTCCCCCCACCTCCTGCTCACTGCACAGGCCCCTGTGGTGTCCCCTGCCCTTGTGGGGTGTCCTCCCCAGCCCCAGCACTTACCCGGATCTCCACCAGCTCCTCCACGTAGTTGAAGAGCAGTGGGTTGATCTCGCGCAGCTTCAGCACCGGCCGCGACACCATCAGTGCCAGGTACCTCATGCTGCACCGTGACACCTGCCAGCACCGCCAGGGCCACCTCAGCACCTGCCAGCCCTGTGCCACCACCTACAGACCCCTGCCAGGGACCCATCACAGGGACAGGGCCCGGGGGCACAGCCCCAGGGACAATCCCTGGGGACATGGCTTCCCCTCAAGTGACCTCTGCCCAGTGACCCCCATAACCAGAGATGTGGCCCCCCAGGTGACATCTACACAAGGCCATGGTCCCCAGGGACGTGCATGGTCAGGGATGGGATCCCCCAAGTGGCCTCTACCGAGGGAGATACCCCCAGGGACCCCCCTGACAAAGGACACATCTCCCAAGTCACCTCTACCCACAGATGCACCTCCCAGGGACCCCCACGAACAAGCACATGGCCCCCAGGTGGCCTCTGCTCAGGGGTTCTGTCCCAAGGGACTCCTGTGACACCCAGGGTGGCCCCACCCCACCTTGCGGGGCTCGAAGTCCCAGTTGTGGATGGCCCGGGCGGGCACCACGGCCAGGTCGTTCCAGTGGCAGCTGGAGCAGTAGTAGAGGCCGGTGTAGTCGCACTGCCGGGCCTCGCTGGGCACCCCCCCTGTGGTGGCACAGGGCTGGCACGGGGCTGGCACCGCCACCGCCCTGCTCTCTGCTCACCCCACACCCTGCACATGCCCCAGCACACCCAGCAGCACCTGGGGACACGGCAGGGCCCCAGTGTCACCTTCCCCACATCCCCATCATCCCCAGAGCCCACACACTGTCAGCTCCTACCAGCCCCATGCACCTCCCAGCCACAGCCCCTCAGCCCAGGCAGCCCCAGCCTCACAGAGCCCCCCAGGGGAGCTCAGCCCCCTCATCCCCAACCCCTCAGAGCTTCATGAACCCCCCAGCCCTACAGCCCCAACCCCACAGAGCTCTCAGCTCCCCCAGCCCCACAGAGCCCCCAGCTACCACATCTCCCCAGTTCCCCCCATCTCTCCAGTTCCCCCCAGTTCTCCAGCTCCCCAGTTCCCCCCAGTTCCCCCCATCTCCCCCATCTCCCCCCATCTCCCCCAGCTCCCCCCCGTTCCCCCCTCTCCCCCCAGCTCCCCCAGTTTCCCCATCCCCTCAGCTCCCCCAGCCGCCAGGGGCTCACGGAGGGAGATGGGGGCCCGGCACTCGGCACAGCGGTAGTCCTGGCTGTCCAGGCCGCTCTCGGGGCAGATGCTGAGCTGGTACTCCCGCCTGGTGGCTGACCTGGGCCCGCACGCACGGCCGGCTCACCAGCGGCAGGCACTTGCTGTGGCAGCGGTAGTAGCAGCCTGGGGGGCACGGCTGGGTGTCAGTGCGGCCGTGGGGCAAACAGGGACGTGCAGGGGGTGCCCCAGACGCACCTGTGCAGGTGTACCAGGTCTGGATGAGCCCCCAGATGATGGTGCTGCACTTGTCACACATCTGCTTGACGCTCTTACTCTTCTCCTTGTAGAAACGGTGCTCCAGGACCACCCGGATGTTGGGCTCATCCTCACCAGGGTCCTGCAGGGGCAAAGGGGGGGTCAGAGAACTAAAGAATCACGGAACGGCTTGGGCTGAACCTTAAGGGTCGTCCCTTCCACCATTCCTTCCCTGCCATGGGCGGGGACACCTTCCCCCGCCCCAGGCTGCTCCAAGGCGGGTCCAGCCTTCCAGGGATGGGTGTGAGCGCGGAGCCGCAGCCACAGAGACCCTCAGTGTGCAGCACCAGCCCCACCTTGAGCTCCTGCAGCTTGAGGCGGAGGTGGATGAGGCGCACCACGGCGTCCTTCTGGCGCTCCGAGTGCTCGGGCAGCGCCAGGATCACCCGCTTGCACTCCTCGATGGCGCGGCGCAGCTGCGGCACGTCCGACGCCAGGATCAGCCCCTGCCGGCACCCCCGAGGAGGAGGAGGAGGAGGAGGAGGAGGAGGGTCAGCTCAGCCCCCCGTACCCCCCCATCCCCACAGCACCCTCCCCACTCACCACGGGCCGGGAGAAGTGGTCCTCGGCCAGCCCCAGGTCCAGGGCGCCCTCGGGGTCCCCCGGGGGGGGATCCGGCTGCTGGGCTGCAAACGGGGGGCTCGTGGGGGGCTGAACCCACCCCAGAACTGGGGCTGGGCCCGGCTGCCATCCCCGGCTGGCATCCCCCGTGTGGGACAGGGAGGGGTGGGTGGGGAATCAGCACCCACCTGGGGCAGGGGGCTCCCCCTCGGGGCGCTCCAGCTGCTCGGGGCTCTTGTTGAAGGGGTTCAGGTGCGCCTGGCGGAAGCGGGCCAGCCGCTCGTCCGACGCCATTGCCACCGTCCTGCTGGCCAGGGGACACTGCCTCAGTCAGCCCAGCACGGGCAGCGGCAGCGGCACGGGCACCCTGGCACCCACAGCCTGGCACGGGCACCCTGGCACCAGCACCCTGAATACCATCAGCACCCAAATACCAGCACCGGCATCCCGTGACAGGCACCTGCCCGGCATCACCAGCACCCACACCCTGGCACCAGCACAGTCACCCCATGCCAGGCACCAATAGCACCTCAGCAGCACCGGCACTGTCACCACCACCCTGCCATGGCACTGATGTCCCAGCACCAGCGACACTGTCACCAACACCCCGTTACCAGCACTGACACCCCGGCTGGCACTGCCACCTCAGCACCGACGGTTCCCCACGAGCAGCAACAGCCGGTGCACCCACCGGGGTACCAGCACCGGCACCGGCACCCCAACAGCAACGCTGAAACCCCGTCACGGGCACTGACACCCCCAAACCGACACCTCCTCACTGCCACCGACACCCTGGTACAGCCACAGAAACCCCAGCACTGCCACAAACACCGACACACCGGCAGTGACATCGACAAACCGGCACCGACATTGCCACCGACACACCGGCACTGCCACCGACACACCGGCACCGGCATTCTGTCACAAGCACCACCACCCCAGCACCGTCCCCGTCCCCGACACGTCGTTGCTGGCACCATACCCCGTCTCCGTTCCCGTCTTCCCGTCCCTGTCCCCGTGTCCGTCCCCGCGGACAGACGCGTCTCTCCGCCTCCCACGCCCGTGCCCCCGCCCTGCCCCGCCGCCACCGCCCGCTTCGGCCCGCGGTCACCACGTACCGGCACCGTCCACGCATCCCGGCCCCCCGAGGGCCCCGCTGTCCCCTCCTGTCCCCCGTTGTCCCCTCCTGTCCCCTCCCGTCCCCCGCGGCCCCTCCCGCGCGCCCACCAGGGGGCAGCGCCCCCGCCCCGCTCACCGCGCGCGCCGCCGCGCCCGACAGGCCCCGCCCCCTGCCAGGCCCCACCCTCGCCAGGCCCCGCCCCCGCGCCCTGCGTGCTGCCGCCCCCTGCCGGCCGGCAGACCGCACTGCACCCGCCGCGCCCGGGCGGGGCCGCTCCGCGACATCCGCACTGTCCCCACCGCGACAGCCCCACTGCTGCCATCCCCACCGCGACAGCCGCACTGCTGCCAATCCGCACTGTGCCCACCACGACAGCCCCACTGCTGCCACCCACACTGTCCCCACCCCGACAGCCCCCAGCTCCAGAATTCCCATCCCCACAACCTACACCCTCCATCCCCACTGTCTCCACCCCTACAGACCCCACCCCTACAGCCTCCATCCCCAGTGTCCCCATCGCCACAGCCCCCAGCCCCACTGTCCCCATTCCCACAGCCCCTGTTCTTATAGCCCGTGGCCCTACCAGTCGATGGCCTCCAAAGCTGGGGGCTCAGAGCCAGGAGTGTCCTGAGTCCTTCATAACTGGGCACACACCCAGCCCTGGGGAAACACCCTGGGGTCCCCGGGGTCTGTGCTACCACCTCAGATTGGGGAACAAAGGGCCAACTGTGTCCTGGCACAGGGCCACACCCCCCGAGCTTGGAGAAGGGTGACAGTGGGGACAAAGGCACAGCCCGCCTGGGGCAGCTGGATCTGAGGGGCAGAAGGGTGGGGGGCACTGCATGGGGGCTTCCCAAACACCTCCCCTGGCTGGCAGTGGCTGGGGGGGCTGAACCGTGTGGGTGTCCCCTGTCCCCCTACCCAGCAGCCACAGACAGGTACTACCTGGACAGCAATAAATTTATTAAGTATTCAAAAAAAATAATAAGACACAAACCAGTAAAAAACGAAAAGGGGGGAGGTAGGAAGGGGGGCGAGGGGCCGAGCCGGCTCAGGGGGGGACGGGGTCAGGAGACACTGAGGGGATGGCAGGGGAGCAGCACCTGGGGCTGCAGCAGCGCGAAGCCGGGGGGGCTGCGGGCAGTGCCGGGGGGCGGCGGGCGTCACTTGGCGCCCTGCGCCTCCGACTCCTCCTCGTCGTCCTCGTACATCTCACCCTCCTCCTCGGCCGTGGCGTCCTGGTACTGCTGGTACTCGGACACCAGGTCATTCATGTTGCTCTCGGCCTCGGTGAACTCCATCTCGTCCATGCCCTCGCCCGTGTACCAGTGCAGGAAGGCCTTGCGGCGGAACATGGCCGTGAACTGCTCCGAGATGCGCTTGAAGAGCTCCTGGATGGCCGTGCTGTTGCCGATGAAGGTGGAGGACATCTTCAGCCCCCGTGGCGGGATGTCGCACACGGCCACCTTGACGTTGTTGGGGATCCACTCCACAAAGTAGGAGCTGTTCTTGCTCTGGATGGCCAGCATCTGTTCATCCACCTCCTTCATGGACATGCGGCCACGGAAGACGGTGGCCACGGTGAGGTAGCGGCCGTGGCGGGGGTCGCAGGCGGCCATCATGTTCTTGGCGTCGAACATCTGCTGGGTGAGCTCGGGCACGGTGAGGGCGCGGTACTGCTGGCTGCCCCGCGCCGTCAGCGGCGCGAAGCCGGGCATGAAGAAGTGCAGCCGCGGGAAGGGCACCATGTTGACGGCCAGCTTGCGCAGGTCGGCGTTGAGCTGGCCGGGGAAGCGCAGGGAGGTGGTGACGCCGCTCATGGTGGCCGACACCAGGTGGTTGAGGTCGCCGTAGGTGGGGGTGGCCAGCTTGAGGGTGCGGAAGCAGATGTCGTAGAGCGCCTCGTTGTCGATGCAGTAGGTCTCGTCCGTGTTCTCCACCAGCTGGTGGATGGACAGCGTGGCGTTGTAGGGCTCCACCACCGTGTCCGACACCTTGGGGGACGGCACCACGCTGAAGGTGTTCATGATGCGGTCGGGGTACTCCTCGCGCACCTTGGAGATGAGCAGCGTGCCCATGCCCGAGCCGGTGCCCCCGCCCAGCGAGTGGGTCAGCTGGAAGCCCTGCAGGCAGTCGCAGTTCTCGCACTCCTTGCGCACCACATCCAGCACCGAGTCCACCAGCTCGGCGCCCTCTGTGTAGTGCCCCTTGGCCCAGTTGTTGCCGGCACCGCTCTGCCCTGGGAAAAGAAAAGAGGCTCCGATGGCCGCCGGCCCCCCACGCCCACGGCCCGAGGGGACCGGGAGAGGATCAGGGCTGGGCCCAGCCGCTGCCGCCGGCAGCACCGGGGAGATCTGACGCCGGGGCGGGGTGGGAAGCAGGAACCGCAGAGGTTTGGCGGCGAGCCGGCGGTGCCGGGCCCCGCGGCGCGGGAGGGGCGTGCCCGCCCAGTGCCCCGGGGACGGCGACTGGCCGGGCTGGTCCGAGGACACTGGGGCTCGGGGGAACATCGGGGGACGGCGCACCCCTCCCTCTCCGGGGACCTACCAAAGATGAAGTTGTCGGGGCGGAAGAGGTGGCCAAAGGCACCCGAGCGCACGCTGTCCATCGTCCCCGGCTCCAGGTCCACCAGGATGGCGCGAGGCACGTACTTGTGAGCTGAGAGAGACCCCATGACGGGAGGGGACCTGCTGCTGCCCCCCATCCCACCCCAGAGGCGTTCCCAGCACCCTGCGGGGTTCTATGGGGCTACGGCGGACCCTCTACATGTCCCCCCCAAATCCCAGGGGCTCCTGGTGTGGGTGCGTGTCTCGTTATCCCCAAACAATGGGGGTCACATGGGGTGGGTGCACATGTGTGCCCCCATTACCTGTGGGCTGGGGGGATGTTGGTGCTTTGTCCCTCCCACACCACAAGATCCTACAGGGGGAGCACAGGTGTCCCTCTATCCACAAACCACAGTGTCCCATGGGCTGGGTGCATGTGTGGTGTCCCCCGGGGTGGGTACATGTGTCATGCCCCCACCCAAACTACAGGGTCCCATGAATTTGGAGGCACAGGTGCCCCTGCCCCCCCACAGGACAGGGTCTGAGGGGTGGGTGCACAGGTCTGCCCTCCCGGGGTCCAACAGGGCGGGGATGCAGGTGTTGTGTGTGACCCCTCCCAAACTGCAGGGTCCCGTGGAACGGGGTGTACACGATTTCCCCCTGCCCCAAACTGAACGGTCCCACGGGGTGGGTGCACGTGCCTGCCCGCCCCACACCTCCACGGGATGGGTCTGTCTGTCTGTCTGCCCCCCTCCCCACCCCAGCAGACCCAACTCCTCCTGCACTGGGGGGGTCGCACTGGGGCCCCTCCCAGCCCAGGGTGGGGGTGCCGGGCTGCCCTGCCGGGGGGGTTTCCAAGGGGGGGTCGCTTACAAGAGGCCTCATTGTAGTAGACACTGATGCGTTCAAGCTGCAGGTCTGAGTCCCCCACGTAGTTGCCGCTGGGGTCGATGCCGTGTTCGTCGCTGATCACCTCCCAGAACTGGGGAGGACGGGGAGCTCAGCAGGGCGGGAGGCACTGGAACACCCCCAGGCCCCCGGGCGAGGCACGGGGCACCAGGATCCTCCCATCCCTAGGCAGGGCTGGGTGGGGCAGGAGGCACCGGGATACCCCAAACACTGAAATCCCCGGGCGGGGACAGGCGGGGGGCACCGGGACTCCCCAAGCCGCTGGGCAGCTCCCGGCGGGGCGGCGGGCACCGGGATCCCCCAAACACCCAAAATCCCGAGCAGGGCGGGGGGTATGGGACTCCTCAAACCCCGGGACAGGGCTCGGCGGAGCGGGGACAGGGGGATCCCCCAAACACCCAAAATGCCGGGGAGGGCGGGGGGTACCGGGACCCCCGGCGGCGGGCGGGGCGCGGCGCGGGCGCTGTCCGCGGTGCTGACGGACAAAGGCGGGGGGCGGGGGGCGCGGGGGGGGCGGGGCGCTTTGTCCTCCCGGTGCGGCGGCGGGGGGGGAGGGGAGCGGCTCTGCCTTTGTCCGCCGCCCGGCTCCGCCGCGGCGGGCGGGGCGGGGCGGCGCCGCCGTTACCTTGGCGCCGATCTGGTTGCCGCATTGCCCCGCCTGGATGTGGACGATCTCCCTCATGGTGCGGCCGGGCCGGAGCGGAGCGGGACGGGAGCGGGCTGGGGCCGGGAGCGGAGCGGCACCGGAGCGGAGCGGCACCGGGAGCGCGGGGGGCGGCGCGGCCGCCGCCGCATCCTTTATAGGCTCCCGCCGCCGCACCGGGCCGGCCGCTGACGTCACCGCCGGCCGCAGCCAATCAGCGGCCGCCGCCGCAGCGCCGCAACAGCCCTGCGGCACCGGCACCGCCCGCCACGCCCCGCCCGGCCCCGCCCGCCGCCACGCCCCGCCGCGGCGGAGCGGGGACCCCGGCACGGGCGGGGGGCACGGCCCGGGGGGTGCCTCCGGCACCCGCGGGGAGCGGCGACACCCCGGGGACCCGGGCGGGGACCCTGGGACCGCCCGGCGGCGGCGGGAGCATCCCGGGGCGGCGGCGGCGGCGGCGGGACGGGGGGACACACAGGGGACACCCCTCCCAACGGCGTCCCGGAACGGGGAGGGGTGGGGACAGGGTACGGGAGGGCCACCCTGGGGGTCCCGGTCGGCGGTCGCCCCCGCGGGAGCGGGGACGGTGCCGGTGCGGGTGATGAGGTGGGCGGCGGCGGGCGCGGCCCGAGAACAAAGGCGACGGTGATGGGCCCTTTGTCCGGGGGCGGCCGGGACCACCCCCCGCGTAGGATCCAGCCTCCCGCCGCCCAGCCGGTCCTTCCCGGTTCCCGCCGGGAGCAAGTGACCCTTGAGCGACCGGCGGGACCGGGAGGGACCTCTCCCCTCGGGGCTCCCCGGGGCCGCCCGATGCCAGCCACAGCGTCACTGCAAAGAGCCTTTATTGGAACCGCGAGTCCCTCGCCCCGACCGGGCACCCCGCGGCTCGTCCCGTCCGTCCGTCAGTCCATCCGTCTGCCCGTTTCAGGGCGGGGGTGGCCGTGCCGGTACCGTGTCCCGCTGCCTACCAGGAGCACGTCACCACCTCCTGCAGCGTCCGCCGGAGCTCCTGGCTCCGGAAGGCGTAGATGAGGGGGTCAATCACCGAGTTACAGATGATGAGGATGAGGAAGAGGTTGAAGTAGCTGAAGAAGCAGGTGCAGAATGGGTTGGTGGGACAGGTGACGATGAGGATGAGGTGGAAGAAGAAGGGCCCCCAGCAGATAAAGAAGACACCCAGGAGGATGGTGAGGGTGACGGCACCCTTCAGGCTGCCACCACGGTGGGCAGTGGGTGGCTTCTGCTGGCTGGAGATACTGTGGAGGTGGTGGCGGGCCAGGGCAAACATGTGGATGTAGAGCACCAGCATGAGGACCAGCATGAAGAGGAAGAAGCTGATGAGGCAGAGGAGGACGGTGTTGCTGCGGTAGTAGGTGATCAGGATGGCGCTGGAGACGGTGCTGGCCAGCCAGACGCTGGCCATGGTGACCACGGCGCGCTGCAGGGTCATGATGCTGTGGTAGCGCAGGGCGTAGAAGATGGTGATGTAGCGGTCCACGGCGATGACCCCCAGGAAGGAGAGGGACGAGACCACGGAGCTGCAGATGAGCGTGTCGATGACGCTGTCCATGTGGCGGACGATGCTGGGGCGCATCACCAGCACCCCGTGCTCCAGCAGCAGCATGAAGAGCATCTCCGCCAGGTTGCTGATGCTCACCAGCATGTCCGACACCGCCAGGCAGCAGATGAAGTAGTAGGTGGGCGAGTGCAGGTTCCTGTTCTTCAGGATGGCGGCCACCACCAGCAGGTTCTCCACCAGGCTCACCAGCCCCAGCGCCAGGAACAGCTCGTTGGGAATGTCCAGCCCCTGGCACCAGCCGCCCCCGGCCCCGACCGTGGCGTTGCTGTGGTTGCCCTCGCTGGCATTCGAGGGCTCGCGCAGCAGACGCAGGGGGGCCAGCGTCGACATGAGCCCCTCCTCAGCCCCGGGGCCCCCCGCGGCACCCGCACAGCCCCCGAGCCCCCGTTGTGCCCCGCCAGTTCTCCCGCGGCGCCCGGCAGCGAGGCCGAGGGGATGCCGAGGAATTGGGGACGGGAGGCCTGGGATGTGCCGGGGATGCCGCGCGCCCGCCGGGACCCTCGGGTGCTGCTCTCTGTGCCAGCGCTGCCCGGCGTCCCACGCCCGCGGGCCCAGGGTGCTGGGGAAGAAAGGGCCCTTTCTCTGCCCCACTTTAAAGCGGCTCCCGCAGCTCCTCCTCCGAGGAGGGTGGGCACCTGCGTGAGGGAGGCACCCTGGCAGTGAGGGGGCTGCTGCCGAGGCCAGGGCTGAGACACCCCCAGGGTGGCCCTGGGGACCCCGATTGCTCGGGATCACCCACCGTGTGCCCAGGGGTCTGAAATGCCCTGGGGTGGTCCATGCACGCCTGGGGTCATGCACCTTGGGAGTGCTGCCATTGGGGTCCTCTGTGCCCTGGGGGAATGTGCACCTTAGGGTCCCCATGTGTCCTGAGGTCCTGTGTCTGCTGGAGGGGACCCCTGAAACCTGGGGGTCTGCATATTTGAGGGGTCCCCTGTGCCCCAAGGCCTCTGTGTCCTGCAGGGGTCAATGTGCCCGTTGGGACTCGTGTCTTGGGGGGGTCCCACCTGCTGTGGGGGTCACCCACACCCCCTGAGCTATCCATGCACCTCAGGGACCCCTGTAGGACCCTCTGCACGGCCCGATCCAGGCTGTCCCACCCACTGGGACTGGGAGGGTCCCATTCCCATGGCCCCAGGGGAGATGTTGTACAAAGGGGCGGGCATGGGACGCGATAGGGATCGTCCAGGGCACGGTTAAATGGGACAGAGCAGAGCACGGCGCCGCGGGGAGGCTGCGGGGACAGGGCCCAGCTGACCATCATGTGCCTTGGGTCCGTGTTGATGCCTGGAGCCGCGGGCTGCCAAAGAGTCATTCACAGCTCCGCGGGCAGGCCGGTCCCACGGGTACCCACTTCCGCCGGGAAGCCCTTCCCTCCGGCAGGGATGGAAACGGCTCAGCTGTGCACAGCGGGCAGGGGGGCCCAGGCTGCCCCAGTGCCAAATTACGGGGACGGGATCCCATGGGATTTGGATGTACCAGTGGGGAATGGAGCCAGGGTGGGCTGGCTCAAGACTTGGGGTCTGCACACCCAGCCCAGCTACATCCTCCAGGGAGGTAATACAGCAGGAACAGGGATTTATTCCATGTATTCACCATTACTCAGCAAAAAAGGGAAAAAAGCTTTACGGGAACAAGGATGAGTTAAGGTTTGACTGTGGCTTACCCCGCTCCTTGCTCTAGGTGAAGGTGAGGGAATAAGGAGGGAAAAACAAAGAAGGGGGCAAGATTTCTTCTCCAAACATAAATAAAAGGCTGAAAAAGCTGCTCCTTGCACAATTCTAGTGGCACAGGGGACTCTCAGACCTTTGGAAGGTTCAGTGTAGTGAGGGTGCAGAGTATTTTGTGGAGGGAAGGAAGCTCCAGGCTATGGGAAGCACAAAGGAGCTGAAGAAGAGGGCAGTAAAAGCCCTCTGGGAATTAAGGACAAGAGCCAGGAGAACAGGGAGGGGAATAGGATGGAAATTGTGTGTAGAGGAGGCCAGAAGGGGACTAAGCTGCCATGGGGACAAGGGACAGCTGCTGTTGATTAGCTCGGACATGCTCAGACAGCCCTTGTCCCCTGTTGAGAGAGGGGCCCTGAACAAGGCCCATGGCTGTAGCTTCAGCCCCCCCTCCCTGGATGGAGGCCACGCTGCCATGGCTGCAGCCCCCTCCTCAGAAGAGCCCATTCCCACAGCCAGTCCGTTTGTGTGACTTTATTGGAGTGCGACACAAATGGGGGGTGACAGCAGAGGCTCTGGGCAGGGAGGGAGGGACAGCCCGGCTCAGTCCCAGTCGCCGTCGCCCTCGGGATTGTCCTCGCGGGGCGGCTCCTGGAACTGGATGTTGGCCAGCATGTCCCGCATGGCCGCCATCAGCCGGTTCACCCCCTGGTTGAGGTCCTGCGCCGCCCCGGCCTCGTCGTCCCCGTCGTGCCGGATGTCCCCCTGCAAGGGAGCAGCACGGCGCTGGCAGGGACAGGGACAGCACCGCGGCCAAACCAGCAGCAGCAGCTCCTGGAGCAGGAACACCGTGGGGAAACGGTGCACCCAAACCCCAGCCCGCACTCACCTGCAAGTTAAAATTTGGCAACAGCGAGCGGAAGAAGAGGGATAAAGTGCTTTCGTTGGAGGGATGGCTCGTCCTGGAAGACACAAGTGGCACCATGGTGAAGGTACAGCCCAGTGGGATGTGGGCGGTGCTGGGAGAACCATGGTGCAGCTGGAACCTCAGGGAGGGAACTGGGGAGTTCCAATGGGACTCTGAATTCAGGCAACTCTGAGCAAACCAGTCATTAAAAGCACAACCAAGGCCAGGTTGGAAGGGGCTTGGAGCAGTCTGGTCTACTGGAAAGTGTCCCTGCCCACAGCAGGGGGTAGAATGAGATGAGCTTTAAGGTCTTTTGAACTCAAACCATGCCAGGATTCCATGATCCTACCAGCTCTGCTCTGAGTGGACTGGTGTGGAACACACATGTGGCATCACCCCAACACCAGGACTGGCTGTATTTAAATTTCCATTTACCCCAAACCCTCCCAATGAGCCATGACCTGGGTTTCCCTGGCTTTTGCCCTATGGCTGGGAATGGCCAGTGGTGACCACCATGGGAAGCAGCAGGACCAGTCCAGCCTGTAGCTCTGCCTGCCTGGAGCACCACAGCTCTTCCTCTGCCATGGAGGAGATGCCAGCCCCGAGTGCCCGCGTGCAGCCTGGCCTGGGGCTGAGGGCGTGCAGGGGACACAGCTGGCTGTGCCAGAGCAGGAGGTGGTACCTTTCCGGGCGGGTGTAGGAAACAATGGAATCCAGAGGAGGCAGGGGGTCAAACCCCATCACTGGCTGGGAGGTCACCTCCTGCAGGGAGAGGAGAAAGGAAGGAATGAAGGAGAAAGGAAGGAATGAAGGCTGCATCCAGCAGCAGCAAACATGGGCACCCACAGAAGCCATGAGTGATAGGGGTTAGGACGGGCCCAGCAGGGACACCACAGTCCCTGTGGCCCATCAGGCCCCTCACCAGAGGCAGGGCTGCTGTGGCCTCCTTCATCTCCGAGAGGATGATGTGCCGGTAGATGTTCCTGGGAGCGCTCTGGTACCGGATCTTCCTCCTGAGACAGGGAGGGGACAGAGCAGTGAGCCCTGAGCAGGCACATTCCCATTTCTGCTGCTGCAGGTGCAGTGTCAGCAGCTTCCCTGGCTCTGGGGGACAAGGCCATATTGGATGGAGCTGGCTTAGAGTGAGCCAAAGGGGGTGGGAGCTGCTGAGCTCTGGAGAAAGAGCAGAGAGCTCAGGAATGAGCAGATTGACCTTGGTTTAGGACACCTGACAGCTCTCTCCTGTTTCTCAGCACTGTTCCTAAGCTCTCACCTGCCCTGTGTGGCTATACCTGCCCTTCCAGGCCACCCCTCCACCCTCTCCAGGATGATTCCAGGGTACAGGTGACAGCCAAGCCTGGGGAAGGCAGTGCAGGATATGCAGTGCAGGTTCAGCTCTACATTCCCATTTGTGAAAAGCATGGAAGAGCCACTGCCTTCCTGGCCCCATGCTGTGACCTTGGCATCAGAGCAGCAGCTGTGGGGCTCTGAGCCCTGTCCCAGACAGGGAACTGCTGCTGCCCAGGACAGACCCTCTGTCCCACTCTGTCCCTGGCACAGGAACCCCGTCCTGCACACTCTGAGCTCACTTGTGCTCGGCCTCCTGCACCAGCGCGTCCCGGGCGTCCACCATGCGCAGAACCTCATGGGCGTGGGGCTCCAGCCAGGCCATGACAGCCGGGTCCTTCCACAGGGCGTGTGTCCTGCCCACGTACAGGGATGTCAGCTGGTTCAGGGCGGGCGACTGGCTGTGGGAGAGGGCTGTTAATCACGGCATCCTCCTCCTCCTCCTGCTCCTCACGGGATGGTCAGGGCTCAGCTCTGTGCTAGCCTTTGGCATGGGAACAGGAGAGGACTCGCAGGCTCCTGCCTGGATGCTGCCATCCACCTCCACCAGAACTTCTGCCTCCATCTATTTTTAGGCTAAGCAGAGCCATGAAATGAAGGAACACTGCCCTGGCCTGAGGGAGAGCCTTCGCACGCTGAGGAAGACCATGAGTCCAGGGAAGGCAGACTGGTTGGAGACAGCCTGCCCTGGGAGGACACACGCGTCACCCTCCCTCCCTGCACACACCAACAGGCTCTGGGCTGAACTTCTGACCCGTCCACCTTGAGCTGAGGTGGGTCTGTCAGCCCCATCCAGAGGCCATTATGGAAATCCATTATCAAAAGGATTATCAAATGAGGCATTACCAAATGAGCCTGCTCAGGAAACCCAAACAAGCTCTGCATTAGCTGTCTGAGCATGCAAGATCCCCGCCGCCGGCAAAATCGATCCCTTCCCTTCGCTGAGAACATCTCCAGGCCCTACCTGATCTGGGCATTCAGCCCAAAGAAGGGGTGGGAGGCGACCCTGGCATCGGGCTGCACGCTGCAGTGATCCAACAGCGGCATCAGAACTGCAAGACAAAGGCAGAGAACTCGTCTGGACCTGCTGGTGAGGGGCAGTGTGGGGTGGGGTCACCCTCCGCTCCTCAGGGCCAGAACCCCCTGGGGCACCAACAAGGACACAAAGAGAGGGTGAGGACACTGCTGGTCCCTGTGCTCACAAGGGCATTATTTCAGTCACCCCAACGAGCAGCCTAAAAGATGTTTCCAGCCTCCACAAACTGAATCTCTGTTGGAGAGCTGGTTCTTCCTGCTGCACACACCCTCCCCTGGGCCTGAGGGCTGTGTGCTCCTTTCATGGACAGCAGCATCCACAGGATGAAAGGGAGAGTGATGGGCACCCATGGGGAGAGCACATCCAAAACAGAGCTGTG